ATTTTAAATGCTTCCCTCATTTTTAAACTAAATCCATTGTGCAGGAGTTTATATTTCAGCATCCTGTTGCATTGGTTAACAATTGAATTTACAAGGGCAGTCTCACAGGTGCACTTTTGTGCCATGCTTGTAGACTTATGGTGTGCTACATTGTCATTTTCTTTTTATAAATTACACTTCTGACATATTTTGGCCTTATAAGTCATCATCAGATACATATCTCTATGTAATTGCTGTAGTGTGTTACTTTGTATGCTTCACTGTCCACCATACAGGGCATTCCTTCAAAAGTTTACTCAGACAAGGCAGATATTGTAGGATTTGAGGTTCTCATGGTGGTAGTTAAGAAAATTGCCATCTTCTGGGATATAGCACCGTGTAGTCCATATATGAACCGACGTTCATATTACCTCCATCTTCAGGGTAAAAAATTAGTGAGTAAGAAACCAGCAAGAGCAGGTAGCTAGGAAGACATTTCTTGTTTGCTATGGATCCTGGATCCTCATCTATTCTGTGAATGTAAAATCCAAGGTTGACAAATTGGCGACTATAAAGACAACAAAAAAGTATGATTTGAGGCAGTCTACACAACAATACTTTATTTTTAATTCGCTTAGTGGGGGTTGGAGTCTTAACTGGGTCCACTCAGCACGGCAGCCACTGATTGGCCTATTGTAGCCAGCCCCGGGTGACTATGATGATGGAGAATTTGGTGGAATGAAAATTGGCAGGGGAAACCGAAGTACTCAGAGAAAACCTGACCCAGCGCCACTTTTTGCACCACAAATCCCACTTGACAAGACCCAGGATTGATCCCAGGCAGCGGCGGTGGGAAGCCAGTGACTGACCTTTTGAGGTATGGCGCGGCCTACACAACAAGTTCAGCAAACAAACAAGGCAGACACTACCGTGTCATTTTGCTGTTGATATTTTTATTACATGTTTAAACCTTTACCTGGGTCATCCCTCAGGAGTACATGAGTACTTGGTGTCAGATAAACCTTGTGGGATGATGCTGTGTAGTCTGGTAATTTAGTTACCAACGTTTCAAAGGAACCTACTACCCTCATCTTCACTTCTCACTCTTCTATTCTGGAGATGGAAGTGGCAGGTTCCTCTTTAAACTGTTTACTATCTACTGCAATGTGATAACTATATACCATATCAGAGAGTATCACATTTCTTAAGAAAGTAATCTTCATATTTTGTGAATGTCCGTCTTTCCCAGTGATTGTTTATTCACCACCTTAATTTCTGATGATCTCAAAGAAATCCTATTATTGTCCATTCTGGTAATATATTCTCTCGTATCCTGCGACGAGTAATCAATGGGTTCCAGATTTCCAGATTAGATGAACTGATTTACTGGATATTCACCAGGTGGAACTACAATCAGTTGTAACACAATCCTGTTTGTCTTCTGTCTCCTGGATTCTCATCTAAAATAATCTTCTAGTAATCCTCTTGAGGTAGCTGTTGATGCACAGTATATAGGACACTGAGTCAAACACCTTTTTTCTCTGTTGTCATGAAAATGTCCTTTCCGTTGTTGTGAGAACAATGTTTACCTAGCGTTTGTAACGGAAACCTGTCTGTATGCATTGCTTAGGAAATGTCTTTTTCAATAGTTCCTCTCGTCATGATTACCGAGACATTCACTACTAAGTAACTGGAGTTCAATTGTTGACCACATCCATATCTTAATGTTCTGGCCAACTTCTCACAATGTTCATAACACTGTATAGTTAACTTAAACTATTTCTCTTGTAGTGGTTCTGCCTTCTAGTTGAATGCTCTGGTCCAGCTGGTAGTGTGGTGTCACACCACCAAAATTGGAAAACTGGAGAAATATATATTGTACCTTATATGACACATTCTAACTTTGTATGCACCACTCCAGTAGAGTAGATTAACTACTTGACTGTATGCCAGAAACCGTATTCTCAAACATAAAATGCCTCGAACTGGAGAGATAATACAATGGCTAGCAGTGCCCAGTCTCATGGCTGAATTGCTACACAATGTGACTTCTACAACAGGATTTACCCACTACTGTCAACCTAGTTTCATATTTTATACCTTCTCATTTGTTTGAATCCTCCATAGATACATTTTTTTGCTAGTGGGGGGTGGAATCCGGCTGGGTCCACTCGGCACAGCAGCCACTGATTGGCCTATTGTACCTGGCCCGGGTAATTATGATGGAATGAAGATTGGCAGGGGAAACTGAAGTACTTGGAGAAAACCCACACTAGCACCACTTTGTCCACCACAAATCCCACTTGACCAGACCGGGGTCGCCGTGGTGGGAAGCCAACAACTAACCGCTTGAGCTATGGTGCGGCCTACCACCTGCAATTTACTCAAGTCTCTTAGTCCACACTGATATTCCAGCTCCTTATGTCAAAATGGGTAAATAATGTTTTATTAACTACTGGCATTTCTCAATTCAAAATAACATCTCTAGCAGTCCCATAAAATTTTCCAGCTTTATAGCATTTTCCATGCTTTCTTGGCTGAAAATTTTTTACTCAAATAAGAAGAGCTTTCAGTTTCCTTCAGAGTTACTATATTTACTACCTCCAACATGTCTTCTTAGTAAATTTTCAAGACCACAACTGATTTTTAAACATACTTCTCTGGTATTTTGCCATTCAGAAATATTTTCTAGCCTTCATTCCTTGTCATCTTCTATCAGAATGTTCATGTTCCTATTTTGGTGTTTCCAATATGTTTTTACTTTACATTACGTTAAACAGGAAGGGCACTCACTTCCCAGTTTCTCTCTCTGAAATGTTTCATCAAAGTACTTCTATTAATTATAATGAAATGTTAATATATTTATATGTATTTTTGTGATTCGCTGTATTGTGTGTTCATCCATTTTTCTTACACAACAACCAGATACAGTAGCAATACCACCAAATGTAATTTCACTCTCATGGATCAGAAGCTCTTTCTCGAATTCTCTTGTATTTCATCATAAGTTTCTCCATCTGCACTGCAGTCACACTGAGAGGAACAACATAAACAATGAATGCTGTTGTATTTTGAGAGTGGAGGAATGGTGTACTAATATATGTAGAGAACAGAATATGAGGCACTGGAAGTGACAGCCTAATAAAATGATTATGTATATTTGTCAATGTTCATGTGAGATGAAAGTATGTTTAATTCTGCTGCTGCATGACAGTATGGCAAGAGGTTACTCCAATACTCCAACCTGTCTATCCAATCATCCCCAGCTAAACAGTGATCCTCTTATCCTGTCATATGCAACAGATCTAATGCGCTGGCACATGAACCATAACGATGGTCTGCAGGACATCATCTTCTCTGATCTTATGCTAGAATAAGAGTAACAAAATTAATTTTGCTTCTACTTTTACCTCCTGTGGTAGTCAACACAATTGAGTAATGTACTTACAGAATTCTCCTTGAACTGAATGAAATATGTTCCATTCATTCCCACAGTAGCTAACATGAATATTCAGAGAATTTTTCAAGAACTGAAATTATGCTCCATATTCCATCATAACTGTAATATGCCATCTGAGAGACTGATAAGTTCAGATATATATCTGTAACATTCAAAGCATACAGCACAAAAAGTAATTTGGAAAAACAGTCCATAATCACATGTATCTTTTCATGACAATAACACAGAAAGCTTAAAAAAATAATAATAATAAAGTTTACATAAACAGAATTGGAAAAATTATGTTTCTTTCAAACATTCTAAACAAAGGCTACCAAATAATGAACTTCTTAATTTTGGGTTTTCCAAATTTAATTATATTGAGATGCAAGGTAACAGTTCAAAGGCAGGAACTCTTAGTGGGTTTACTATACAATAATTACAACTACTAAAATAATGGATATGGTTTAAGTACAGGGTATTTTCATCCTTCTGCACAAGAAACACCATGCACATTTCAAATTTCCATACAGATAATTTATTACTGAAAACAATAATTTCAGGATGGGGTGCACACAAAATAAAATTAAAATATTTAATGTAATTTATTATACAATTTGACAAATGATCAAATCAAGGGAGACACAACTTTGGGAGCAAAAATATTAATATATTATAGTATTGAGGACATTGCAAGACTTGTGTTGGAAAACAGGAAAATATTAATTAGATGGTTACACTATTTTGGCACAGTCTGTAGTATTCTGGTTACTATAAACAATGGAGGGAAACCTACATGGCAGCACATGATTGTAAAAGGAAGAAAACATGAAATAAAATAAAAAGCAATGATCTAAAAGCAATGTCCTCTTATAACAATAAAAATATATAAATAAAAATAAATACAAAAACACATGCTAAATACTAGCACAGTTACATATTTGATCTTTTCTGGTTTAATCTCATGGACAACAAAAGCAGACAGACATCATTCTAACTCGGGCTCTGTGCACTCTTGATAATCAAGAAAAAAATCAAGCTTAGATCAATGTTGCTGCTATCCACAGTAATAAACATTTATAGGATATTTTCGTGTAACATAATAAGGTGTAATCTTGTTGTCAATCACACAGATGTTTGCTTCTTACTCCAGTATTATAATCGACCATACATCTTGCTTGATAAATGCATAAATTCTGATTTACAAATAATTTAACATTTTTTAATACTGTACATACAATATTATAAACCCTATCAATTTTAAACAATGCACTCAAAATTTTAATTGCACTAAAAACTTAAATTTTCCCCTCTGCCAGATCTAATGATTACTGTGCAAAAGTCTCAAGCCCAAAGTTTTCCCACAAAGTTGTGGAGAACCAGCCTGCAGAGGGATTTGAGACCTTTGCCGTAACCTTATCATGAAAATTAATAATTACTTACTCCTGGGATTGTGAAACAAAAAATATGTGCAAGCTTTTTAAAGCCTTCTTTGGTAGAATACTATACATAAAATAATCATAATAGAGTGTAATAAAAGCCTTCAATAAAATACATGCATGTCCCATGACTATATTTCCACTTTTTTCTTTATGCTCTGGTGACAGCAAATACTGCAAATTTTCGTAATACTTGAATAGTGCTTTTAAGTACATCAACATTAACGAACTAAAGTCCCAAGAAATATGCAATGTATTCTCTTGGAGAACTAATGCATTAGGTCCATAATTTTTAAAGGTACAACATATTCACTTTTCAACCATTTCAAATTTAAAACTGGGTTTTTATCATATATCATATTTACCAGATCTTGCACTCACATATGCTATTAAGCCTAATATAGAAAGGTGATCAGCAATGCAATCATGTTTGTTGTTCCAGGCACAAATTACCTATTGTTAAACACCTACTAACAAATAAACTGAAACATGTGTTCATTAGACCATCACATTATTAAAAAATTCGTTCCCTAATACAATAACACATCAACAATATATTAATTTATGGGGAAAAAATCAAAATATGAGTACTAAATGCATTTTTAAATATAATTTAAACTCTACAAATATAAATAAATACATGTTTTATTGTACCACTTCAAATGACTATGGAAATAATGTTTTAGGCTTCGCATGGACCAGATTTATTTGGGACATGATGCAACTACTAGTACAAAAACAGGGTGCCCAATTGCTGTGATGCAAGGGCATTCTTTGTGTTAGTTTTAATCAACTGATTTTCAGTAGCCTGTGATGGACTTTCACTCTTTGCCAGTCTAAGACTGCCTATTTAATTATGAAAATAATTCAATACATGTAAGCCAGTATACATCATACATTTTCACCTCTGATTCTTTAATCAGCTGAAAAAAACTAGATGCTAACAAAGCTTCAGATCTCAATGTGATGTGCGATGACAACAAATACTGATGACTAGTTTTTTGTCACTTTTTAATGAACAACACATAAAAGTTTCCACAATGACATATAGAAGTTAATGGAGCGAGCGAGGACGGCTAAGAGGTTTGGTTGCAGCACTAAGCGGATCAACAAAGCGATTTGAAAACACAGCCAGCCGTATATCACGGTTGGCAAGGAGATAACAAACAAACGAATGCGTGAAGTGAACGTTTCAACCTGACATGGTAGAACACTCGCTGCAGTTCCGTTCCATTGAGGACGGTGGGAGGCGCAGGCTGCAGGAGTACTGCCATGTTGCCATTGCAGTGGGATGGTGCTTGAGCTTCTGGCATTCGTTCGTTAGCATGAGGATAACAGGAGCTGCATCCAGCCTGACGCATCACCACAAATCACGTTGACGGAGATATGATGGCATTGCGTTAGTGTTCCAGTATTTCAGCACTGACAAGGAAAGGCCTGTGTCTACTCTAGAACACATAGCTACAGATAGTTATAGACTAAGATTGCTATTTCTTTTTTAAAAAAAGGACATTACAGTAGTTTTCATAACACTTCATCAACCCACAGTGTACAGTAGTATAGCCTGTGACTATTAGTTAATGTAATGGTCAGGTTTCATCGGAAAAGTGGAAAAAAAAAAAGTGTGTTGGGAAATTCCGAAGAAATCGACCAAATGTTTAATCAGGTCACCATCAGTAGCCCAACAAACAAGTGATCATTCCTGTCTTGTGTTCAACATTAATCACTCAACTTGTGCAATTCTTCATCACAAATACTCAAGTATATAATATTAATATAGATGTTTTAAGATATATATATATATATTTCTTGTGTTAAATCTAACGAGTTTTTTTTTTCAGTCAGCTGATCTCAAAAAATGTTCACACACACAATCCTACTTACATGGCAGACACATCTTTGACTAATTACACCAGCTCCTGCATCAAAACCTCAGTGCCTTTCAAGACACTATGTTACAACCATAAATGATGAATGTCAATCCATGTGATAAAGAATAGGCCAGACATTTCCCTCAATTCATGACGACATGACTTGAGTAAGTCCATTTGTATAATATACATATAGTAAAATGAACCTATGTATTCACTGGTTGTGATCTTGTAACAGGAAATTTGACTCCCAATGTTATTTCACATTATTATAGTAGTCATATTTATTATTAATAACATTATGCATCAAACGCATTTGTCCCTAATGACTAGATTTTGACAGTCAGCATTGCATGGTAATTAGTTGATTGGGGAAAGTTCCCTCTGGTCATATATATATATATGTTTGTAGATTTACCTCAGTAACCCTTTTGGTATATGTCCTTAAGTTAAGACAGTTCTTGTAAACAAGAGAAGTGTGCATGTACTTGGTAACTCAGCTATTTTACACTTACAACCTTCTCTAAATATGTTCTATTTAAAAATGCAATTACACTTTTTAAAACATTAGGTCTGTACACTTATTGTACAAACGGCTAAAAAGTTGTGTCTGTTTCCACACTTACAACAAGGTATTATATTACCAAGTAGATTTGTTTGTGACTTCTCTGTACTCTTTAAAATGTGTAAGATTATACCTCATTTATGGTATTCTGAAAACACAGCTAAATAATATAATGCGCACTGTATCAACAACTGCGACAACAATGTAAACAACAAGGACAACAACAAACACCCGTAAATATTTTCAGACTCTAACACAACAAACATACATACTTTTACAACAAAACGGAGGACAAATTTTATGTAACATTACGTACATCATTTTTTGTTGCCGCTCCACATTACGAGCGACAGTAGGCCTTGGCAAAGATTCTTGCCATGCAAAATGGAAGCTTAGAACCGTGCATGATACATAATAACAATCACACTCTCCTGCACATTCATACTTTGTTATACCTTTTCTGTGTGCTCAATATTTTGTTAAAATGAGCACCACATTCAGTTTTATGCTATGTGATGCATTCTGACATACACTCCCGTTCCCTTCATGAACGTCGTATACAGTTTCACACATTACATTATTACTTACATAATGGACAACATTCTAGGGGCATACTTTACAATTAATTCTGATACATATTGTGCTTTCACCAACCTGACCAGACAACTAATCTCGTAAGTACACAACTGTACGATGACAATTTTGTTTCGACTTGGCCAATGTCAAAAATACTGACCATAGTACTATTGTGAATCAAGTCCCTCGACTTAATTCAGTGTCCTTGGGAGGTGCACCAACAGAAATGTCATTATTAAAAAACAAATTCTTAATAGTAATTATCTTACAGAGAACTTCAGTTAAACTGTATAAATTATGGTTATACATACATTTAATGTTCTTCTATCTTGTTTATGTGTATATAAAATGTTTACACTGATTGCACTAAATCTGACATAACATTGCTTTAGACACAACACTCAGGGGGTTAGACAAGGGTTTTTGGCTTTACAGAGGAAAATGTTGAGGCAACAATGTTCTATTCTAAAGTTAGTTCTAACCTAGGGTATTAGGCAGCCATTGTATTTACAGGCATTAGGCAGCCATGTTGTCATGGTGACATCACTGTTGCATCATGTAGGCAGCCATCTCACTTCAGCAGCTGTGCGCTTGTTGCCATGGCAATTAAATTTAGGCAGTATTCATGGGAACATGCCACGGCTACTGTGAGAACTAGTGACTGTTGAAGTTAGGACCAACTGACCACACTAGCACTGGGCTCCTTTAGGCTGTGGATTTATCTGCCTGATACCTTCCTGGGTTGAAATCAGGATTCACAAATGAGAAGCCCTTGAACTCTTCTTGGTTAATAGCACGAACAACATCAGCATTAACAGGCGTCAGCACTGGATCTTCTTTTGTGAACTCAGCATCAAAGTTCAGAGCATCCTTTTTACTTTTCTGTTATAAGAAAAACAAATTTAAAATGAAGTCACAGATCACTTCCTTTACTGCTTCTCAACAGTGCAGAAAGTAGCATTAAACTTTATCAGCAATGTACTGAAACACAGCAATTGAATGTATGCTACTCGGCTGGCTGAGTGCTGCACCTTTTTCAATGGTAATATTGCTATCCCCAAGTAAAACATGTCTGCTAGCGCTGAAGTAGTAGGAGATCCAAAATCACCCATTCCCTGATGACAATAGTTAAAGATACATTTAACAATAACAAGTAAAGTAATGTATTAAGAATGAATATGATTTGGAGAGTGAGAATAAAACTTAAAGTGAAGTACATCTGAATTCTTTCCGAGAAAACACACGGTCATATAAAATATGTGCATAAGGGCCAGTCAACTGCATAAATATAAAACAGAAAATCAATGCAAAGTCATGGCACATATTTCCTCATATATATGTGTGGACCCCTAGATGATGAACCATTACTTTTGTGGTAGATACAACAATGCAATTTTATTTAGCAAGACGGTTTCCATAAACAAAGAAATTTAATCAAAACTGTTATATTTCTTTTCAAGAAAATCACTATTTTGTGTTTGACTAAGATGAACATTAATAAATTGGCATTTCTTAAACTGTAAACTAAGCATATGCAAGAGATGTCTACTACCAGCCATATTATTTAACTTAATTGTATTCTGACATCAAAAATCTAGTATAATTTACAATTTAATAACAGTACCACATTAACCCCCATATAAATGTTTCAGCAAACCTCAACAAAGTTCTATCCCAAACCCATGTATTAATTCCAACCCTTCCAAATAATCATTCATAAAGAGAAATATTTATTTAAAGAAACTAAAGAGATATTAGTTATGCTTTTGATTTGGTGGCCATTCAACAGAAACAATTCATTTGAATTTTCAAATAAAACTTCAGTCCTCAGAAAAAAAAAAAACAAGACATATCACACTATTCTCTTGTGTGTGTGTGTGTGTGTCTGTGCACATATGTGAGTGCATGTGTGTCAATATAAAATGGAACTCCCAAAAGGGATACATATCACGAAAGAAATATGGCATGAAATTGCCTACCTCATTTTCATTTGAAAAAGCTGAAATAAAACATATGACTCCAGAATAATTAAAAATTTTACATTGCCTGCTGATCCAAGTTCATAATCTGATTAATGTGAATCCTTATACCAACTTATGAGAAACTTCGTTCATACGTATGCACACACACAGATGCACACTACCTAATTTCATTGTTTTATGAGATCCTATCTCCCACTCACTCACTCCTGGAGGCGAGCCCTTCTTGAGGAGCCGCCAATTCTGCAGCTACTCAAGAACTTCCCAGCATTTTATGGAACTTGAAGGTTCACTACCGTGTTCACAAGAGCCCTCCACTGGTCACTATCCTGAGCCAGACAGACCCAATCCATACCCTCCCATCCTACCTCTCTAAGATCCATTTTAATATTACCCACCCACTTACATCTTGGTTTTCCAAATGATCTCTTTCCTTCTAGCTTTCCCACCAATATCCTATATGCATTCCTCCTCTCTCACATTCGTGCTACACGCACTGTCCATCTTATCCTCCTTGACTTGATCATTCTAATTATACTTGGAGAAGAGTACAAGTTATGAAGCTCCTCATTATGCAGTTATATCTCCCACTATCTGACAATTCTATTAACTGCAGGTCAGGATATGAATATAAATGTGTGCTACTTACAATCTTTGGTTTGAATGGTGGCTTCACACGTCTTCCTTCAAGAGCATCCCAGTCCATCTCTCGAAAGAACGGGTGGTTTCTGATGGCCTCCTCAGTGCCATGAGCCGCAACACAGCCCAAGCGTCTGGCAGGATTCTTTGTCATGAACTGCCAGTAACAACAAAGCATTTATGTAGTAATCCAGATCTAAGATTATGTTTTCCAACCTACATATGAAGAACAAACTGACCTAATGCGCACATACAATTATGAAGTGTAACAAAATAATAATGTTAATTAATGATATTAATATAATGTAACAGAATTTAAGCAAATCAAACAATCTTTTACAATGCAAATCCTTGCCTTGTTGTGAATTTTTAAAACCTGCTGTTTATTTCCAGAAAACCGAAAAACGAAATATCTCAAAAACTATTAATAGAAGTGAGGAAATTTTTTTCTTTCTATGCTCTATCAAACACAAAAATCCCCAATATGCTACGATGAATTGTTCTCAAGCAATAGGGGAGGGGAGAACTTTCTTTTGGGGGGATATCCGAAGTTGTTTGGGTGGGTGGGCAGGGGGCTTCAAGTGCCTAGAATACTATAAAGCCAATTTGCTTGAAATAGACACAACGGTGTGAAAATGTAGATAGGAGAGAGAGTGACAGCTACATTCTCTTCTTTAGATGGCTGTCTTGAATTTGGAAAGTGAGAATGGTTTTACATTACTAAGAGCATTATGCAACTAATGCACTGATGCTGGGCAGTGCAGCAGTGGTCAGTTATATGGGTGTCACAGAACAGCGGTTCTCAACCTGTAATTCAGCGGCCTAGTAAATTATTTTTTCTATAAGACAAAGGCCCAATATAATTGATGCCAGGGCCTGGTAGTTGAGAAACACTGCCATAGAAATTCATGCGGGGGCAGAAATTTCGTGTTCAGATACCCAATACAACTTCTAGGGAGACTGTGTTTATCCTGTATCCCAAGGTTAATTTGTATTAATACATTCAGCTGGGTTAAAGAGAAAGTGGGAGAGCAGAAAATAGATGAAACACAATTCTGCGGCAGGGGGATGACAACAACAATCAACACATAAATATTCTCCCCTAAGATCCAGAAATATGATTATCGCATGATTTTATTCTGTTTAATTAATGGCAATAAAATCAGTACATCTATGTGTAAAAAGCATCAAGCAAAGAAATTTGAGGATACTCCTAATGTATCAGTTTCTCACATTACAAAAACACGCACCCCTTTGAGTATGGACACAGCCTCCTTTGTTAGCCACACTGGGTACAGCACATCATCATGCAGGATAGACTCAAAGAGATCATCTTCGTTGTCGGCCTCAAAAGGGGGCTGCCCAGCCATCATCTCATACATGAGTACTCCTAAAGCCCACCAGTCCACACTTGGCCCATAGTCCAGCTCTTGTAGAATCTGCATATGCATGGGGAAAAACTAAACATTAATTACTATAATTCAAAAGTGTATCTGCTCCTTAAGTACTACCATCAACAAATCAAATTATATATATGAAAAGCATGAAATGGTTAAAAATATTCTCTTAATATAAGAAGGAAAACATTAACACAAAATTAAAACTGCTTAACAAAATTTAATAGAATCACATTTAATATAAAAGAAGACAATTACCTCCGGAGCAATGTAATCTGGAGTGCCACAGAATGTTGTGGTGGTGGCCCCATCAACTATTCCTTCCTTGCACATTCCAAAGTCAGCCAACTTGCAATGGCCTTCGTTGTCCAGTAAAATATTGTCTAACTTCAGATCTCTGCAAATAAACCACATCCACCATATGCAAATCAATGTAATTTTCATTACTCAACTCAGTTCAAACTATCATGGGGGTAGAATACACCTATACATGTGTGGGCGCAAATGAATAAAAATGCACATAGACTAAAAATGGCAAGATTTATTGTATGAACAAATTTTGTTTGAAGCCAGGCTTACTGAATATGAAACATACATTTTATATATGGTTTTCTGTACTGAATGTGAGCAATATTCAAACTGCAATGTTGATAGCAACCTTCCTACCTATACACAACCCCGTGTCTGTGGAGAAACTGCAATGCTAATGTCACCTCAGCAGCATAAAATCGTGCTCGTGGCTCATCAAACTTGCGTGCTCGCTGGATTTGGAACATGAGGTCCCCACCATTCACATATTCCATAACGAAGAACAATCGGTCCTGTGAATAGAGTAACATACTCATTGTGTAAAATAATCCAAATCAAAAGGACTTATGAAGAAAGCAGTCTTCTGGGATTTGGCACCGTGTATGTGGTGTTAACCGACGTTTCGGAGGAACGTATCGCCTCCATCTTCAGGGTAGAAGAAAAAATATAAGAAATCTGCAAGCGAAGAGACCGTGAGAACCGGTAAAAGCAGACTGCTTTCTTCATAGTCACTGCCGTGAAAGCCTCAAATGTTAGAAAAGGACTTCTGTTACAGCTTCAGTGCTTCCAAGTTGTTGTTCTTAAGGCATCCACATAAATGCTGCTGGGAATGTGACTAAGTAGATTAGGAACAAGTTTATTCTAGAAACACTGTGTCTGTGTGTTTCTTGATTTATAAATTACGCCGAAAGGTCGCAGGTTCAAGTCCCGATGAGGTCATTGGATTTTTTTCAATTGACCTAATCCTTCTGGCTGCACTAGGCCCTGGGGTTTAGTTAGTTAGTTATTGAAGAGGGTGGGTTTCCCCATGCACCACGACCAGTTTGATCTATTGTGCTGCCCTCTATGATATTCTACCAGTCTCTATAGCCTACCGATATTGGTGCGTACCATCAGTCCCGACCGAGCCAGCAAGTTCGGCCTCTACTAGCTTGGCGGTATCTATAATGCTTCCCCCATCTATCAGAGGCATTAGAGACTACTGTTGGGCGGGAAACGTCCTTGAATTTGGCTCAGTGACCTCTTTTGGAGATATGAGGTTCTTTTACGTGCCGTAAAGCTACGACACGGGACCCAAGGGCTTAAAGTCCCTCCCAGAGGACTTGTTCCCTGAATTTTTTAACCCTTAAAAATTCCACGACCTCCGCCAGGTTTGAACCCGCATACCACGAGTCATGAGGTGGGAACGTTACCTCTAGACTACGGAGGCCGCTAGGCCCTGCGGTTTACTCAGCCTCTAACAGAAATGAGTACCAGGAATTAATTAAATAATTTTCCTGGGGAGTGAAGCGTGGCTGGTGCATAAGGCTGACAACCTTACTGCCATCTTTGAGCCGATTGTCAAGGTAATGTGAGACCCTTAACGTCTCACAACCCCATGGGCCTTCACAGCCTGTTACAGGGATAGCTTTATTTTTACCAAATACTGTCAGAAGTGTGATACAAGTTTTGTTCAGGGGCTGTTTCTAAGCTTTCTGCACAAGAGTAGCAACTAATGGTAGCAATGCTGTAAAACAGTAAGAGACCCATAGTAAAGGTGGAAAAATTTGCTTCATGTGGTTGACTTATAGCATGTGCCACAGGAAAGCTAGAACTGTGACATAAGTGTCAAGATTTATAACAGTTAGTGTAAATGAAGAATACATACTTTCATTATTACCAATCAGAATACTGACAGGGACGAGCTGGCATGCACACACACAAAAATAACATTTCTATAATTTTCTTCAATTTTCCTACCGTAATACAAATTTTCAGCATGAGGTCATGGGACATTTCTAAATCATCTAGGTTCAAAATTTTAATAACTACACTCCAGTCTTCAGTGAAACCTTGTCAGTTTCATTCTAACTTCAATTGCCTGTGTGAAGATTGTACTTATTGCAGTACACATATTTATCTATTTTAGCTTATTTATTATACACAACTATTCTAAGTTGTTATAAAACTGAAGTGTCTACCTCAGGATGTTAGTAACAGTCAACTGTTGGATACTTCTACCCAAGGAAAAAGACCCCACCACTTAAAATTATCACCACATTATTCCAAAAACAATGTATTAAGTACTGACCACACAGTGAGATTTCAGCGTGACTTTCAAAACAGGATCATTCTCAGTAAAATGTTAGATCAGCCGTCCATCTGTACCAAATAAATACAACTCTTTGCTGCCAGTAATCTTGACATTGACCATTTTCTTTCATAAGATGAAAACATGTAATGAGACTAATATGAAAAATAACAGTAGACCAATATATGAACCTACTGAAAAACTACTAGAACTGTCATACTCATAGTGCAGTTCAGTATTAGTAGAAGAAGAGAACCTCCATGGTTTTAGCCTGCAAGCAAACTATCCTGATCGAGTGACCAACACTTGTTGGCGAAGCTAGTGCCAACTTCAGCAGATAGAGGGTGTTGCGTGGTCAGCGCAACGAATCACCATGGCCATTAATTTCGGTTTTCTAGACCGGACCTGCTACTTCCTTGAAATACCTCAATTATCCTCACGAGGCTGAGTGGACCCCGTTCCAGACCCACTACTTGTCAGAAAATCTGGTAGCGCCGGGAATTGAACCCAACCTCTGGATCTGTAGCCAGGAACTCTGACCATTCGACCAACGAGGTGGTCACAGCATTAGCAACCGTCTGATAATACAAAACAGATTTAAAGAACTTAGATGTACCTTAGTCTGGAAGCATGAATGAAGTGCAGTGAGGAAGGGATGTTTGGCAGCAAGGGCAAGAATCCTTTTTTCCGTCATGGTGCAATCCACATCATCATCTTGGATGATGACATCTTTCTTGAGCACCTTTACAGCATACACTTCATCAGTGGATCCAGTTCCACCCGGTACCTTCCGTTCTGCAAGCATCACCTTGCCAAAGCTACCCTTACCCAAAACTTTGATGAAGTGGAAGTCTTCCAGACAAATTCTACATTCATGGCCACTTCCTCCTCTCTCTGTGATTTGTTCTGCTCGATCTAGACGACCTACAACACAACCAGTTGCATAATTTTAAAGCAGAAGAAAACATATACAATTACACTGTAGTACTACTACACAGCAGTAAATGTAACAGAAACATATACAATTTAAAGCATCATTATGTGAAAATAAAATACATTTTTTTAATTAGAAACAAATTCTTGATAATTAGAACTATGACAATTGGATAATACTGAAAGAAGCACTTATCACAGTAATGGCCTACGAATGGTACTGCCTCTGTGGTCTTGTGGTCAGAGTTCCTGACTACAGATCCAGAGGTCTGGGTTCGATTCCCGGTGCTATCAGATTTTCTGGGAAATGGTGGGCCTGGAATGGGTCAACTCAGCCTCGTGAGGATAACTGAGGAGCTATTTTACGGAAATAATGGTCTAGAAAACCGAAATTAACGGCCATGGGGGATTCCTTGTGCAGACCATGTGACACCCTCTATCCACTAAAGTTAGCACTAACTTCGCTGAGAAGCGGAGGTTGCCTGGTCGGTATAGTTCGCTTGCGGAGTAAAACCACGGAGTTTCTTTTATGGCATACCAATGACATTGATGATGGCAGAAAATGTGCTGCTCATCCATCGTAAGAAGAAAGAGTGTGATATAACATGAACCACTTTTATAAATCCTCATATAAATCATGCCACCAAGTATTGATCATGAAATTCTGGGAAACACTGCGAATTTTGGAAAAGAGTACATGTAATAAGAGAAGTACTCACTTCCTTCAGTTTCAGAAGTGTCTTTGTTCTTCTCGCGATTCTTGTCATCTGTAAATGGCGGAACAAGAATACGGTTCTCGGAATCGTTTTCCCCTCCTTCAGAAGTTTGACATGGAGGACCTAGGTCATCCCTCCTTACTCCAGATTCATCATGCTCAGCAGTTGACAGAGCCACTGTTCCTCCACCCCCTCCGATGCGGTCCCCAGCGGACTGCACACTACTTGATGACCCACTTGACTAGAAAAGAAAGTGACACTAACAAATATAAACTGCATACATCTTTATGTCAGAATCATTCACTAATGAGTCAAACAAAGTAAACATACCCCACATATCATATATTGTAAAAAACTACTCTCGACGTCCAGATGCTGGCGATGATTCAGAAGAATACACTTCCCTTCGAAGATTATTATTTCTTTAGAATGTTGTATTTTAGAGTCCTGCTACATTGATTTTCATCCATGACATGTATACAATGGCCGCCTTGTAGTGCACTCAATTTCATATATCGCTTCTTACTACATGTTTCAGAAACACAGTGCCATCTTCAGGTTCCTTATTTACGCTAAGCGATTACATTGTTTGCCATCTTGTGTCTGTCATAAAATTATTTAGAAAGTACATTATTCGTCAACTACGATAAAATTTGTATATACTAAAACTTGTTAAGATTATTCATCTATATGTCTTAATTCAAACTCGCGTATAGTATGATTCGTCCACTATGGGAGTCGTTTCTGTGTGTACTGTGTCTGCGATGTGTCCTTCCTTTTTGGCTGCGAGCCATTTGTCATAATGTACAATCACAACCTAATATTAGCGTAAATTACCGAGGTTCGCCTCCTCCAAGGTACAGATGGATGCGCAGTAGTCTACTGCGCAAACCTAACCTAACCTAACATCAGCGAATGGTACCCCCGAGTTACAGGTGGATGTGCAGTGCTTCATTGCGCACACCTAAGAGTGACGTCATTTAGGAAGCTGCTATTTAACAGAACGTAATATAGGACCGTCGTAACATGGGCTATAAATCGAAATATGACGTTACGTATAAAATTTAGCGTGTTCATGGTCTTTCCCCCCGATAATATCAATCTATGCTATTATATTCCGAGATTATATTGCTACGTGATGGCTTATATTGTGTCGAAAACGCCGCTCCCACCTCACGAGTTTGCGCATCCTCCACGGTGATACAAATGACTACTGAATATCACATATTATGGCATTATGCTAACCTCCAATGGCATAACGTTNTTTTTTCCTGGTATGAAGAGGTGTTTATAAATAATAAGACGGTGTTGCGCGTGTTTATGTACATATATATGTACAAGTTCTGATTAATTATCTGCCTGAAAGTATATCTTAAAAGTTTCAGTGAGATAGTGCAAATGGTAGGCTTTAATGTGTGTATTATCCTACACCGAGTAATGGCAAGTGCACGAAATTTTACAAACATGTGTTTCCTCTGTTCCACAAGGAAATCGAAGTGTTTTCCCTCTGAACCATGAAACTGAAGTATGTGTGAAGGAAGAATACACCATTATGTACATTGATTGATTTAAAGAAAGTAAGTGCATATAAGAAAAATGGGTGTGCTGTGAAAGACAATGCGTCTCTGAGGTTATTCTTACACAATTAATAATAATCTCATATGAAGTACGTACAGTGATTTGCACAAAATGTGTTTAGTGGTTATATGGATAGAGAGTGAATTAGATTTCATGAGTGCATATTTGGTATGACAAAAACGGTGTAATTTTGGTATGTAGCCTTTGAATATTACAAGTGTGAGTACGTTATTAGTCAGAATGATATACTTTCTTTTGCATTAGTATAAGTACTTGTAAGAAGAGAGTGCAAAGTGAAGTTCTAGTTCCCATTGACGAAGTTATTTTTAATTTATATCTTAGTTCTGTGTGACAAAGAATGGTGGGTATAATGTATGTTGTTTTGGTCACAATAATGTCGAGTGTAAAGTGAAGTTTAAATTCTCTAGTGTGATGTTATATTTTTGTGTGCAATATATACAGTGATGTGTAGTGAGGTTATTGTAGTTTTCAAGTATGTTAACATTTCCATTCACCCACAATGGATTCAAAAGTTTCCCCTTTTATGTACATAACTTGTTTGCATGAAGAATTCTTGCTTGTAACAAGGTGGTAGCTAAGTGAAACACATGTTGTCACTGGTGTGTAGAGTGTGTTATAGCATGAAGAATGATGGCAAGTGATTTCTAAGACAGAAGTGTATTTCCATGTGATAGGCTACGGACTGCATTCTTGCCATCTAATCTTCCAGACTTACATGTGTGAGCAGGAAGTATACAGCACCAGGGAATTATTTTCTTTACATCTATTAAACTGCTTACAGAATCACACTGTTACCAGGAAAGCATGAGTTGTTACAGCTGACGTAATTGGATTTTATAGTTGAGTCTAGAACATACATAGTGATGTGTTCGTTTTTTGTTTCAATGCTTAGAAAAATGTCGAATATTTTCTTAGGTTCAGATCATAATCAGTGATTTCCCTATCTAATATTTATGCACTAGTATTGTGGGGTGGCCCCCTCGTTGGTGTCTCCACCTTATCGTGGTGAGGGGGTTTGAGTATGCCAAGGACCCTGAGAGCTATACCAGCGGTAGCGTAGCTACTGGCAGGGCCTCCCTTGCTGGACAGGTCAAAGGGTAGGCATCAGACGAAGAGAGACACCAAAAAC